CCGCTTCCTGCCTGCGCGTGGGGCAGCGCGGGGCCCCTGCCCGGCGGGTCGGCCCCAGCTCCTGGAAGTTTGGGGTCGCTTCGTTTCCCGGGATCAACTTGGGACGCGGGCTCCCAGCGCGCGTCCCGCCAGAGCAGCCAAGTCGCCGTCCCGGGTCCCTTTAGATGGCCCAACTTGAGCAACCAGCCTGAGGGACCCGAGCTGGTGCATTCTGACCGAGAGGCCTGGGTTTCCGCTTGGGCACGAGCGTTGCCTCATCAGGGAGGCGGCGGTTCGTGCCATGAGGATGCCAGAGGAACGCGGAGGGGGCGCTCGGGGACCCCCGGGCGTTCTGAGCCTGCGTGCCTTCCGTCACTTGTCCTGGGGTGTCTCCTGAGCAGGTCAGCCTGGCGGGACACGGGGATGAACTGTTGGGGACCGTCGGGGGACTGTCCGCGGTCGTTGACGTGGAGGGCAGGAGCAGCCGCAATCCTGGTCCGAACCCCCCCCATGGTGGAGGTGGTCTCACCGTATTATCGCCCCAGGTGCTGCAGGCTAGTCTGCCCGCCCTCAGTAGTGACCCAAGCTAGGAGGGCTGCAGGGGAGGGGAGGGCTGGCGGGAGGGCCCCCTGGCTCCCTGTGGCACCCTGCCGAAGTTTGCCACCCTCCCCCTTCCGCTCACTAGGTGTTTTCAGCGCCTTTCCCCTCCAATCCAGCGCATACCTGCTGCCCTCTCTACCACATCCCTACAGCAATGAGGAACTGAGACCTGCGGCTGGCCTTGCTCAGGTGTGTTTGCTGAGCTGCCTCCTGCCAGGCTCACTCCCAGGGTGTGACCGCGAACCCCACCTGAGCCTGCCATTGCCCTGCCATGGCGTGCCACACCCCCGAAGTCTGGACCGGTGTGTGTGTGTGTGTGTGTGTGTGTGTGTATGCACTTGTGCTTTCTGCAGGTCCCTTTGCAGTCTGCCTGAGGGTGGGCGGGAGGCGGGGACCTGAGTGAGTTCTGGAGCTCAGAAACGCAGTGTTACTCAGCTGAGTCTCCTGAGGGGCGTTTCACCAGAGAGACAGAGAGAGAAAGGGAAAGGGAGAGAGAAAGCCACCAGGTCCAGGACTCGAACCTAGGCCATGTGGGAATCCAGGGCCTTAACCATCACGCCACCTGCTGGCCCGTAGTCTGGGTTTTAATTTATAAAAAGGGACAAAAGAGTGTCGGGAGGGAGGAAGGGGTTTCAGAGATGAACTGAAAGAAAAATGCTGGCCTTGGGTAGGGAGCACGTGGGGGTGGCTGGGGAGCAGGGTGGGGGGCTCCCTGGGTCTCTTGGCTCTTGGTTGGGCTCCTCCACGCTCCAGCTGGGCCCGTCTGAGTGACTGGTGCAAGAGCCCTCGGATCTGCCCCAGCGGCTAATGTAAAGCCCAAGGAAAATCCCAAACCATAATTAATGTGGCTCGGGGCTAAATTGTTGCTTGAGTGTTTGGAAACTTTGTGTACTTTTCTCTTTTACATTCTACTTTTCTTAAAATTTACGTTTTAAAACATTTTAAATGTTCCAAGTTTTAAATGCTCATTGAATCATTGTACATCTTTCTAGCCTGTAACGTTGTCTCCTCCTAGCATTCATACAGTGCAGATCAATCAAGTCAAACAGAATATCCTGGACAGTTTAAGGTTTTATTTTTTAAGTTTATTTTTTTCCACAAGTGAGAGAAATAGAGAAGCCGAGAGACTGCACCCCCAAGCGGGTCTTGGTTCTGTGTCGTCCCCTCTCCCCTGGCAGTCCCTGAGAGTGGCCCATGCGTGCCCTAGGTACTTCGAGGGTGGTCTTCCCCCCTTGAGCCCAGAGCCCTCCGCGTGGATCAGCCTCGCGTTTCACCTCTGTGCTGCCATCCACCTGCAGGCTTTTACAGGCATGGACGTCAGCCCCACCTGGCTGGATTTCTGCTCTGCCAGCCAACTTCCTCTGTGCTTCTGGCCAGTACTCTACCTCCCAATGCCCCGGCATCCTCACAAGTGCAATGGGACGTGGCCGTGAGACCTACATTTCTGGCTGAGAAATGTTAGGTAGGTGTGGAGTGTCCTTCTATCAGACAGGGTCCTCACAGGAAACAGGATTCAACCCAGCTGGTTGAAATGAAGAGACTTCGATGAACTAATTAGAGGGGAGAGGGCAGGTTAAGGGAAACTGCAGAGTCTCTTGCAGTGCCCGGACCAGAGGGCTGCAGGGGGAAGGACAGGGTGGTTTGCTGTTGCCCATGGGAGCTAGACCAGCTCCGGCCAGGCTGCAGCAGAAAGCAGAGAGGGCACCCTGGCCTCCCCTTCCACCCGTGGCCCTTCCATTGCTTGCTGCCCTCCACCCCGCCCATGGTGGCTGGACTGGGTACCTGGCAATTCCACGTGCAGAAGAACCTGTGGGGCATAGAACAGGGAAGAGAAAGTTGGACTCAGTTGGACAGCCAGAAGCCAAGAACACAGCAGCTGATGGTGTACTGGTTATGTCGCTGGGCTCCCAAGTGGTTCGAGTCTTGGACCTGGTGCTTACCATTCAAGCCAGGAGTGTGTGTGTGTGTGCATGCTCAAAATCCCAAGAGGAAAATGGAAGAGAAGGGATTGCAGAGTGGCCATCCACTCTGGGGGTGATTTCTCACTTTCTGTCTCTCTGTCTCTCTAGTGAGTGCACATACCCTATAGCAAAAACCTCTCTTTAAAAAAAAAAAAGCAGTGTGATAAATTCGTTCCTGTCCTATGAAAAAGTGACATTCTGTTGTCCTAGGATATACTCAGAATTATAAAACATGAGCTCAAGTTACTCAAATGGCTCTTCACATGTCAACTAAGGATATCGAGTCTTTTCCCTAATGTCTTTGTATTTTGTGCATCTGTTTGTAATTTCTGATCAGTTGCACTTCTGTGTCCTGAGCCTCTGGGTCTCCTAGTATCGGGTAGCGTATTATCTGCAAAAGTGGAAAGATTCACTGAGCATTCTGCTTTGCAAGGGAACAACTTTTTCACCTGACTCTTCCGTGTAGCTGTTCAGTTCATTTCTGGGCACTCTTAAATAGGGAGGCCTGAGGGCAGTTCCAGCAATAATGAGGAAAAGCCTGTGCTTTTTGTTTCCAGAGACTTTTTTTTTTTAAAGAGTTGCTTGTTTAATTTATTCATTCATTTATTTTAATTTGACCAGAGAGAGACAGAAGAGAGGGAGAGAAAGTGAGAAAGCAAACCACCAGGTCTGGGACTTGAGCCATGGTCGGCCATGTGACAGTGTCCACCATGCCACCTGCTGGTCCCCTCCAGGACTTTTACTAGGTTGTTAGATATAAAGTCATCTTATTTGTCTTAGTCCTGTGGCCAAGGAATTAAGGGAGCTTGATCCCACATGGCCAACCAGTTGTGTAAACTCCTGGTCCCGGGCACTTGGAAACACACTGGGTGTGTGTGCACATGTGCCCCAAATCCCGACAGGGTGGAGAAATGGAGAAGAGATGGCGGTGGGACTTCGCCCCGTTGGGGAGTGCTCTCTCTCTCTTTCTGTGTCTTTGTCTCGGGCAGTGCACTCTCTGGCTTGTAAACAAAAGTCATCTTACTTAATTAGAGACAAGTAGAGCATAGGAATTCCAACAATAGCATATAGGGATGATGTTGGCTTTGGGGTCCCCACAGGCTTCATAGGTACACTTGTTGAAAACTTCATTTCTACGTTATGAGCCCTGTGTGCTGAGCAGAAAGGGAGCTTCGGCGGTTAGCGGCTTATGCAGCTGTGCATACTCAGGATATATTAGGGAA